GCAGCGTGCAACCCGGTCCCACCGTATAATAGCATTTCACCCTTATTCCTCCTCAATATATCACCTTTATTCCTCCTGTTGCGGCGCGCAACCCGATCCCACCATGTCAGTATCAGTTACTCAATAAGTATAGAAATTTCACAATTTAACTCAAAACTCTTCACAATATTTAAACCTCAAACCAAAGCAAACGGAAAGCTTGTACATTATGAAACTTCACACAAATAATACTACTCAGTGAAACCAATCCAAAATATACCATAAATTACCGATAAACCAGCTTAAGCCAATAATATGAGATAATAAAACTACGGGGTAGCTAATACCTTCAACAATGAAAAACAATGTCTGACAAATAGCAATTAAGCATGAAAATACGTGTAAAGCATGTAGTAGTTAAGGCAGGAAAGGAAAATATAATAAGAACGGAAAATAAACAGGCAAAACAGATAAATTGGCGGCGCATAGGTACTCGTCACCTCACCTATACGCCACTCACATGGATTTTTACATAGAAAATAAGTCAAGGGTTCCTAATCCCTCGAGTCAAAGTTAGACACGACACTTACCTCGGTCACAGACCACTCACTGCTCAATTACCGCTTTTCCTCTAGATTTCACCTCCAAACCACTCGTATCTAGCCATAATTAAGTTAATAACATCAAATATTGCTAAATGAGTCAATTTCAATACATAAATTTAGGTTTCCCAACATTTCCCCCAAAAAGTTAAAAATTGACCCCGGGCCCGCTTTGTCACGACCCCGGTTCACCCTCCATGAACATGTCGTGATGGCACCTAGTTCCTACAACTAGGTAAGCCTAACAGTGCAGAAATAACAATTTAACTTGCGGAATCATTAATTAAACTGAACATATGGAAAAAAATATCAACTGAAAATAAGGCCACCCGGCCTATACAACTCTAAAGATATGCGGAAGTCTACAACTCAATCCTAAAACCCGGAAACTCACGGGAAATACAGGCTTATTGAATTACCATAAGTACTCTAGTCTCCAGAATGTCTACATCAAATATGATAGGAATAAAAGCACTACAACTAGAATAAGGAAGAAGACTCTTCGGTCTGCGAATGCTGCAGATATACCTCGAAGTCTCCGTGTATCTCCTCGCCTCAAGGATAGTGCGCCTGAGTAGAGGTACCTGGATGATCTGCACATGAAAAACATGCGCAGGAAGGGCATGAGTACACCACAGCGGTACTCAGTAAGTGCCAAGCCTAACCTCGGTTGGGTAGTGACGAGGAAGGTCAGGGCCCGACTGAGATAAAATATAATAATAAATTAACAGTATGAAAAACTGACAATAATAATGAATACAACGGTGAGATAAGACAGGTTAAATAAGGCAATATCAAATACACAAAGAACGGAACAACCACGGAATAAGTACAGCTCAATACCAAGGTAACAATGAGGATCTCCCAGGATACCGTCTTGTAGTCCTTTCTCAACTGTCCGGTGGATCTCCCGGGATACCGTCCTGTAGTCCAACTCATGTGCCAAACCGAAGGATCTCCCGGGATACCATCCCATAGTCCAACCATCAATGTGCAGGGGGATCTATCGGGAATCTAACCCGCAGTCCCAAAGTAAAAGTGTAGGGGGATCTACCGGGAATCGAACCCGTAGTCCCAAAGTAAACAAACAAGGGGGGAGCTACCGGAATCCCACATCCGTAGTCCCAATATAAATGCGCAATCACAGCCAGAAGATACCAAGGAATGAAGTACAAAGACAAACAACAGATAGTACTAGCCTAGCATGCTTCCTGTAATACAGTCAAGGCAACTTAAGCAATTAGGCAGGTTAAATAAACTAAACATGCTTCTCTAATCTAGCACAGGTTATAATTGCAGGTAGCAAATATGAAAGAAACTCGATCTCAATGTCTTAAATAAAATCAGGATTTTTAGACAATCGGCTCAAGTACGCGCTCGTCACCTCACATACAAGGCACTCAAATATCAAGTAACAATCCTAAGGGAAAAGGTCCTCTACACAAGGTTAGACTAGCCACTTACCTCAAACCGGCTCAATATCACTAGAAACCACGCCCTAGCCGCGAGTATCCGACTCCAAATAGCTCAAATCTATTCAAATTCAATTACACATTGTAAATAACATAGCAAACAACGGGTTTCGCTATTTAATTCAAAGCTACGACGTGAAATTAGGTAAAATGACCAAAATGCCCTTCAGTCCAACATCTCGGAATCGAATAATTTTCACATTTTCAGAACCCTCGTACTCTCACGAGTCTAACCATATAAAAATCTCCCAAATCGGAGGTCAAATGCTCACCCAAAACTCAATGGTTTAGTCTAAGAAGTTTTCTCCCATTTTGATGCCGAATTCGAAATTAGATGATGGATTAAGCTATATATTGATGGAATACAACTAAAAGGGATTAAGAAAACGTTACCCAATGATCTTCACTTCAAAACCCACTCAAAATCGCCCTCTCCCGAGCTCTCAATTGATTTTTCCAACTTTTGAAACTCAACTCTCGAAATTCCCTTTTCTGAACAGGTGTTTCCGCTTCTCCGGACAAGGGACCGCTTCTGCGGTCCCGCTTATGCGGAAAAACAACCGCTTCTTCGGTTTTCACTTTATAGACCAGATTCCGATTCTGCGGTACAAATCTCGCAGGTGCGAACTGCATCTGCGGTCAAACCTTCCGCACCTGCGGAAAAGCTGAGGAGTCCAAATTTCGCATCTGCGATGGGCCGGCCGCTTCTGCGGCTCCGCTTGAGTTTATTACACTCGAATTTATTGCACTTTAATTGAGTTTGCGCTTTAATCGTTAGTGTTTTGCACTAATTGTGTGTTTTATGCCTTGTAGGTGTGATTCCGAGCTATATAGATGTTATGGAATGAATTTAAGTGATTTGAAGCTTTGAAGTCTGAGTAAAAGCTCAAGGAATTACGCCGGGATCGTGTTCGGGGGTCAAATTTGATAATTAAGTACGAACGAAGACTTGAGGAGGCGTATTGCGCACTGTCTAGTAAAATAGACATAACTTTTTGCTCAGAACTCCATTTGGGCTCCACAATATATGGTTAGAAAGCTAACTCAAAGGGCTACAACTTTAATGTTTTACGTTTTTTCAAATTCCAAATGGAACAGGGTAAAAAACTGTGGTTTTGCCGCGACCGCGGCAGAACCGCGGTAGAAGATGGTCGCGGACAACTGAAGAATCAGAGGGCATGTTTGGCCGCGATTCCACCGCGACCGCAGAAAAACCGCGGCAGGAAGCGAAAATTTCAGGGACTAAAGTGCAAAACATGGGATTTTAAGTCCTAAACCCTATATTAAACAAAGGAGGCCGGCCAAGAACAAGAGGGGGACATATTTTGGACATAGATTCGACCTAAGGAGGCAAGAACACATTGGGAGCAAGGCGGAGAAGTCTTCTACGAGTTTTTCCTTCCTCTTCCTATTTTTCATTGTTGGTTATGACTTTTAGTATTGTAGTTTTACATACTATTATGAATAGCTAATTTGTTATCTAGAGTTTGATAGAACCTTTTGTAGGATAAATTCTTGTTATGTTTTTATATAATTGAGCCATAGCTTTTCTCTATTTGTTCAACTACGTTTATATTATGGTTGGTTGAAGAGCTCTCAATTAGCTGTGCCTATTTAGTATGCATAACTCGGGAGAGAGTGCATATTTAGGTAATTTTTGAACAACACCACTCCCAGAGTATATGAGGGATCAATAACCGAGGGTTTAAAGGTGAGATAAGGGATAACGAAGCCTTGGGTGCTATCTGAAGTGAGTTGTATTAAAAGCCAGCTAGCGTAGCTCGGGAGAGTGCGTCTAGTAAATTGTCGTAATTACTCGGGAGAGATTTACGGCAATAAGAGTGCTCATGATCGGTAGAGAATACTTAGGCGAAATTATAGAAGACATAGCGGAAAGGATTCCGACAATAGGGGAAATCATAACTCTAGACCTCCTTAATCTTTTCTCGAACCCTCAGTATCGTTAGTTATTAATTTACTATTTTAATTTGTTAGTTAAGTAGTTAAACACAAGAATCTTAATATCTATAAGTTAGGAATTGTTCAAGCTTGTCTTCTTGGTGATAGTGAACAGCTGTAGCTAAACCTTAGTTCTCTGTGGGATTCGACTCCGGACTTGTAAACCGAATTATATTTGCAGCGACCGCATTGTCCTTTTTATAAGGCATAGTTGAGGCATAGTTGGGCGTGATCAGTAATGAGTGGCATATGACTAGCATAATTTTGTCTGCTTCGATGGTAAAAAGAAAGCTTTTTGTTGTTCAAGAATAGTTCTTCCCTCTGTTTTATTTCATACGACAATATTTGATGATCGAGTATACTATTAATTAGGCATGGCTAAATAGTGTGATAGTTTGGTTTCATCCTTAGACCAGTAGCTTTGATCCAAGTTATGAATCAATCAGGCGGACTAAAAGTTTGAAGGTGGCCGGGTACATGAGCAAACTGCTCAATGAGTATCTCCATCGGACTTTTGATGTTAAGGGTTCTAAGCAAAATATATGACCGTCTTTTTAACAATATACACTTATATATTTAGATATTTTGCTGAAGTTAACAGGGTCCGGCGACCGCGCTTCTCAGAGCATAGGTCTGCCTCTGCAGCTCAAAACATTGACCGGAGCCAACTCAAATGGATTTTTAGGCAAAAATTTCATATCGGTCTTTAACATAAAAGCTTTCCAGAAAAACATCCAGACTGCGCACGCAAATCGAGAATATCTAAAATGAGGTATTTGAGGCTTCGAAACACAGAATTAGGTTTTAAAACATAAGATGACCTATCGGGCCATCACACGAGTGCATGTTTTATAACACTATAGTTTATACTGACTGACTTAAATTTAAGTGTTACACTATCTGACTGAAAAAGGTTTTAAACCAACTAACTTAAAATCCGTCTCTGATTATTCTTTCTTTGCGAAAGGCAAAAATCCTTCAACCAATATCATCAAATGTTTGTACAACACATGAAATCAGCTCGTATAAAATCGAAGATCAAATTACAAGGGAAAAGACATTAGATACATATATATATATAGAGAGATCACAAATAAGATTAAATAACATAATATCAACGAGTGCTCTATAACACTTTACACCGTTTGACTGACTTAAAATTCTAAATCCGTCAATGATTATTCTTTCTTCGCGAAGAGGCCACCAAACCCTCCGAAACCGCCATCGGAATTCTTCTTAGGAGACGCAGAAACTGATTTCTTGCTGCTGATAGTAGTGGTGCCAGTACTCTTACCTTCAACTTTTTTCAAGATTGGATCAGTTTCCAATAATTGGTCTTCTTTTGTTATTGCTCCAAGTACAAAGTCTAGAATTGACTTCTCCTCACTGCTTCCACCAGAGCTCTTTGCTGATGTAGCTTTAGTATATACTACCACTCTTCTTTGGGTAATTGGAATTGGAGGGGAAAACAAGTTCAAAGAAGCCATTGGAATTATTTCTTATTTTCAAGTAGTATAGTAACTCTTGGAATGAATAAAGAGGCAAGAAGAGAAACAATGTTAGTATAATATATCTTGTTTGGATTGAAATTTTGGTATGTGAGTGAAGATTGTGAAGAATGTGTTTTGTGGCACGAGTTCTCCACAAGTGGCTTATCCATTCCCTTGTCTTTACTTTCTTTAATTTTATTTTTTCTTCTTTTTAAAAAATATTTTTAGGTAAGAAGTAGGACATCAGTGACGAAGCTACATGGTTTGAAGGGGATTCAATCGAATTCGCTCTTCGAAAATTTATATTGTGCAAATATTAAAAAATTTAAAATAAATCTTTATATATAAAAATCGTTGAGTCCACGTAATATATGTGGAAAGTTTATAATGTAGCAGTAAACTTGGAAAAAAAACGTTCCCTTAAATTTTAAGTTCAAATCACATGTGTGACATAACAACTCCCTAAGGCCATCTTCAACCTCACTCAATTTCCCCATAATGAGGGCAACTTTTGGGGTAATGAAGCTCCAACCTTCCCCCATTTTTGCCCTCAAAATGGGGGATAAATAGCGTTCCCTCAAATATAGGGGTACACTATTCATCTCCCCCATTATTATTTATATATATTTTATTATTTAATCTTTTAATTTATTTCTTTATATATACCTAATTATGTTTATGTAATATCTTTATAATATTAATTTTACATCTTAACTTTGGCGTATAATTTTGATAAATTAATTTTCGTGCATTTATTATTTCTATATAAAATTGTAAGTTAATTTTATTATAAGTTATAATTGTACAAAAAATATATAATCATCTCAAAAAATGAATGGTGCAAATATAAATATTAGATGTTGCTAAAATTGAAAAGTGAAAAGTGAAAATTGAAAATACATTAAAATTCGAAATAATAACAATTGAAAATACATTAAATTAAAATACATAAAAATTGAAACTACGGTAAATAGCATAATAACATAGTAGGGAGGTATGTCGTTCCCAGATACACCAAAATCATTATAGTATTGAGTGAATGGGGCTGAGGATTGTTGTGGTTGTGACTGTGGATATCGTTGACTTCTTTTATACATTATTCATTGTTGTTCTTGTCGCATAAATTCACGACGAGTCGGATCGATAATAGAATCCACATCCATCATTAAAACTTTATTTTCTTATTTCATTTCTTTTACTCTTAGTTTTTCTTTTTGAACAGTCAAAACTTCTTCTTTTTTGCCTCGGTTGCATTATTCATCGCCTCAACCATTCGATTATTTTCTGATTGGATTGTCTTCATATAATCTTCGTCAATTTTTCTCTTCTTTTTGGATTTCTTCACCCCACTAGGCCGTTATGATGCTGTGGAATCACCTGCAACATCCTTATTTAAATTTAGTGAAAATGATGATAAGTTAGGAGAGGAAAGATAGGGTGAATCAGGGGTAGGATTCTCAAGCTCCGATGATATATTAGTATTGCCTTGCTTTCTTGGTTTTTTTCCTTCCAAAATCGTGTGACGACCCAAAGGGTCATCACTTGTTTCCTTACTCATTCTGTGCTTCCGAGGTCTTGAAAACCTCATTTGGGGTTGCCTCGATTTGCGTGCGCAGTCCAGGCGCGTAGCCGGAAAGCTTAAATATGAATTCTGTGAGAAAATGCTAAATTTTGATATTAAATTGAATAAATTTGACTTCGGTCAATATTTTAGGTAAACGGACCCGGACCCGCGATTTGATGGTCCCGGAGAGTCCGTAGGAAAATATGGGACCCGGGCGTATACCCGGAATCAAATTCCGAGGTCCCAAGCCCGAGAAATGAATTTTTGTGTGAAACTGTTTTCTGGAAATAACTAAGGAAAATGGAAATGAAATTTGATTAAAAGACTATGGTATCGGGCTCGTATTTTGGTTCCGGCGCCCGGTACAAGTCTTATATATGGTTTAAGCGCTTTCTTTTAAGTTTGGTTGAAAACGGACGTCGTTTGACGTGTTTCGGACTTAAAATGGAAAATTGATGTTTTATGAAAATTTGAAAGAAATCATGAGTTTTGAGGCTTGATTCGATGTTTATGATGTTATTTTTGCGATTTGATCGCACGGATAAGTCCGTAGGATGTTTTTGAGGTTGTGTGCATGTTTGGTTTGGAGCTCCGAGGGCTCGGGTGAGTTTTGGATAGGTGTCGGAGTGCATTTTGAACTTAGAGAAAAGCTGGTACACTCAGTCCTGCAATTTTCGCATTTGCGAAGCAGGCCTCCCAAATGCGAGCTCGCAAATGTGAGCCTGGCATCGCAAATGCGAGGAAAGGGTATAGTGCACTGGGGTCGCAAATGCGACCATTGGGTTCGCAATTGCGGAATTGAGCCGGTCGCAAATGCGACTTTGGGCTCGCAATTGCGAGGTGCTTAATCCTTGGCAGAGTTCGCAAATGCGAACAGTACCTTCGCAATTCCCATACTTGCAGGGTTCGCAAATGCGAACCCATGTTCGTATTTCCCACATCTGAGGCCCATCAAATTTTATACTTAGTCGAATTTTCATCATTTTTCACCATTCATTCAAAACCCAAACTCCATAGGCGATTTTTCAAGAACAAAACTTCTCCCAAATCACTTGTAAGTCGATTTTTACTTAACTCTTTCAATCATTAACATCATTTAACATGTTTTCCACTTAGAATCAATGATTTTAATGGGAAAATTTGGGTATGTTGGGTAGAACCTTGGTTTTTCAAAAATTGGGGATTTGGATCTCAATTTGAGGTCCGATTTCAAAATAAATTACATATTTGGGTTTGTGGGGGAATGGGTAACCGGTTTTGGTTCGAACCTCGGATTTTGACCATGTGGGCCCGGGGGCATTTTTGACCTTTTTGGGTAAAACTTGGAAAAACTTATTTTCATGCATTGGGGATGATTCATTTAGCACTTATTAATGTAATTAAGTAAATTGTGACTAGATTCGAGCGGATTGGTGGAGAAATCAAGGGGTAAAGCTATAATTGAGACTTGAGTTGTGTTCAAGGCATCGAGGTAAGTGTTTGGTCTAACCTTAGCTTGAGGGAATAGGAGTTGAGTCTTATTTGCTACTTGCTAATTGTCGAGTACGATGTATAGGCATAGTGACGAGTATCTATACATTGGTGTCTAGCATGACCGTGAGTCCTATATTGTAATTTTCATGACTTCGTTGTATTATTCATGTCTCGGTGATTATTTCTATTTGTTGTGCAAAGATGTGGAAAAAATCGTGACTTATGGATATTGAGGAGCGTTGGCTCCAGTTGTATAGCGAATTGCGAAAGAATAAGTGATAATTAAACCTCTAGAGCATTGGCTCGAGTTGTGAAGTGAATTGTGAAGTAAAAGTGAGGAGAGAAAAGATCATTATGCTGCCCCTTGGCGGGCTATTGTCGAATTCCCTTGTATTGTGTTCTTAATTGATATTACTGATGCTTAGTTTAATGATTCCTTGTGTTGAGTAAGGACTAAAGTTACAGCTGCGGTAGTTAGGTGTTGTAATAGGTTTGGTTATAGCTGAGATGTTTAGGTGTAGTAACAAGTTTGATAATAGTTGTGGTAGTTAGATGTTGTAACAGGTTTGATAATTGTTGTGGTAGTTAGATGTTGTAACAGGAATTATTATAGTTGTGGTAGTTAGATGTTGTAACAGGATTGATTATTGTTGTGGTAGTTAGATGTTGTAACAGGATTGATCATAGTTGTGGTAGTTAGATGTTGTAACAGGATTGATTATGGTTGTGGCAGTTAGATGTTGCAACAGGATCGGTTATAGCTACGGTAGTTAGATGTTGGGACAAGTGTGGTTATAGATGTTTCTCCCTTGCCGGGACGTAATTACTCATGCTATCGAATCCCTTGGGAATAGTGTGGACCTTATCGATCTCTTGTCGGGACTCTCATTATAATTGTAAATATAATATTAAATATGGATTGGGTTGCACGCCGCAACAATATTGTATATGGATCGGGTTGCACGCCGCAACAATATTAAATATAGATCGGGTTGCACGCCGCAACAATATTGTATATGGATCGGGTTGCACGCCGCAACAATATTAAATATGGATCGGGTTGCACGCCGCAACAATATTGTATATGGATCGGTTTGCACGCCGCAACAATATTAAAAATGGATCGGGTTGCACGCTGCAACAATATTATATACGGATCGGGTTGCACGCCGCAACAGAGATATAATGAAATGGGAGCTGGTGGTACGCCTACCACGAGATATAATGAAATGGGAGCGGGTGGTACGCCTACCACGAGATATAATGAAATGGGAGCGGGTGGTACGCCTACCACGAGATACATGAAATGGGATCGGGTTGCACGCCTGCAACGAGATATGTACTGACAGTGAAACCTGCTTTTATTTCCCTTATCCGTGTTAAAGTTAAATTATTGATGTTCTTTATTATTCTCTTGATATTCTGTTTTTACCTGTTATCCCCCGAAGCATGTTTTCCCCTCCCATCCTTACTTGCCTATACCTGCTTTACTTTCCGTTGTATTTTATATAACTGCACAGGTTTATTTGATAGTCTGGTCCTAGCCTCGTCACTACTTCGCCGAGGTTAGGCTAGGTACTTACCAGCACATGGGGTCGGTTGTGCTAATACTACACTCTGTGCTCTTTTGCACAGATCCAGGTATTGGATAGCATCAGTAGTTGGAGGGCTTCCTTCGGTCCACCCGGAGACCCAAGGTAGACCTGCAGGCGTTCGCGGGCCCTGGCGTCTCCCTCTATCTTTATTCCCTGTTCATTTTCTTTGTTTCAGAAACAGCTTATTGTATTTTGCTTCGGACTTTGTTTGTAGTGACTCTTAGACAGTCTGTGACACTGTGACACCAGATCTTGGGTAGAGGCTTATGTTGGATTTCCGCATTTTCTATTCAGTTTCTTTAATTTAAGACTTCCGCTTTATTATTAAATTCCAATGTTGCATGCGATTGCTGATATTTGCTAAAAGAGGTAATTAAGGTTTGGCTTGCCTAGCTCTCACTAGTAGGCGCCATCACGACTCCCGAGGGTGGGAATTCCGGGTCGTGACAAATCGCCATCGTTAAACTTCTCAAAATCCTTCATTATAGCCCACACATGATCAAAATTGATCTTTGGATTGATAGACGCCCGTTATTGGATCTTGAGAAACATCTAAAA